TTTTATATTATTAGACATCACTAAGAAGAGTGGGAAAGGAGATTGTGGGCTCTTTTTGGCAACAATAGTGCATCTTTTGACATCTAGTTCTGGTGTTACAGTCTTTCCAGACTTTGCAAGGGAGATGTGCAGTGATCCATACTGTCCCTCACTCTCTTCCTGCTACCATGATAACACTTTGGAATAAAGAATGCAAACTGAGGATACTCCTGCAAAACAAGCCAATGTGCATTTAATTGTTTAGTTTAAGCTCAGAATTTAATTGTTTAGTTTAAGCACAGAAACCTGCATTTCCATGGTGCAGAAAAGCAAAGTACACACCACACTGTCATTTGGGTGCAAGGAGAAATACAGCTGGCCACATTTACACCATTGAAGCTTTTCTAGGATTTTGAACTAACCATCACACACAAGAGAACACAAAAGACTCTATGGGAATTAAACACTGAACTTACTGTGAGCCTGAGGCTCTCTTTTCATTGGTGGATTGGATCCTACATGCATCCTTGTGAGGGTACTTCTCCCACCTTGGTCCACAGGCAAAGGCTGTGCTGAATAACTGACTGGACAAAACTTCCATTTCTGATGGCTAGCAAATCCCCAGTGTATTGGTTACCAATTAGTTTCTGGGTTCAATTCAAGGTACAGGTTATCACCTACGAAGCCTTTCATGGTCTAGGACCCACATATCTGCAGGATCACCTCTCCTGATATGCTCCAGGTTATGTTCATCTGAGCAAAGCCTACTAAAGATGACACCCTGCAAATGGGTAAGATCAACAACTGCCGGTATCTGAGCCTTCTGTTGAGGTGGAATGGCCTGCTTGACAAGGTCAGGAAAGCTCCCATCCATTTATCATTCCACAGAATGTGTAAAACAGAATTATTCAGGAGGGCATTTTCATAAAGGAAATAGAAAATGTCTGTGAAATGCTTGTAGCCTTTATTGTTTTGTTCACTGTATGAATTATACTCTTTTATTGCATTGTTCTCTACCTTTGTAATCCAGTTTTATTGCATTATTGGTTGTACTTATCATATCGT